CATGCTTAACCCTTTGTAGCTCAGGACTCATTAGGGAGTTAAAGAAGGCCTGAAATCCAAACACTGCTCACCATGCCCACATCTGAGGGTCCAGCGTATTCAGTGACCGGCCCGAGTTTTCTCTTAGTAACGGTTGGCTGAAGTTCACAAAAGCATTTCTAGCTTCACGGAAGTTACTGAATAACATGATTAACAGGGCTTAACTTCACGTTACTGATAAAACTCAAGAAAGGATCTAAATGTTCACTATTTCATAGTACACATATCCCACAATATATTAATCTTTCGAAAAATTATTTTATTGGGGGCTCTTACAGCTCCCATCACAATCCATAGTATTAATTTAATCTTATGGGTAAGCACATAGTGATATTTTCTTCCATTAGGCTCTGAGGCATACATGTTCAACTGGGATGCGTTCGGATCCATAAATTATTCCCATTTCAAGATGAGAAAACCTGATTCAAATGCTCTATTTTTGAAAGTGCTCGGAAGGCACAGAGTAGAAAACCAAAATTATTTCTAGAATCAGCACAGGCCCCAGAGGGCTTTTTAAAATTGGAGAGTACCTGAAAAGGGAGTTCTGGTGGCCCCCAGGGTAAGCACTGGACTAGTAACCAAACAGTCGGCAGTCTCTTCCTCCCTCCATGGAAGACAGTGTGGCAGCCTGCTTCTGCAAAAATTACAGTCTTGGCACAGCTCGATCTGTCCTACAGGGTCCCTGAGAGGTTAGCTCAACTTGTGGGCACATATACAGCAACAATACAAGAGAGAATTTAGCATTGCTCTCACAAGGCTGAGTCTGCTATGGGGACCTCTCCAGCCAAGAAAAAGTTGTTTTTCCTCTCCCTTCCTTAGGAGTTCCTGGATAGGACAATTGGTTAAGTGCTCCTCTATGAACGGAAAGGGGTGGCTGTTAGAACCTCCTCAGTTGGAAGTCCTGGTGGTCTCCTTTCAACAGGTCACAACCACTGGGAAGCCCATGGTGCAGAGCTCTAGTCCGACACACACGTGGGTCACCATGAGTCAGACTCAACTTGACAGCAACTGTTGTCCACGCCTAAAAAATTTTTATTGTTGTTCTCTTGTTATCTTTTCATTCTATTTCTTCAAGGAACTTTTGGAAGGCTGTGTGTGTGTGTGTGTGTGTGTGTGTGTGTGTGTGTACACACACATGTATGTTCACATCACCCTAACTTCAGCGATTTAAAATTCTGATCTAAAAAAGTTTCAATCACTGAATACAAAAAGAATGATTCATTATCAGGATAAAGAAAACAACAACTCTAGCCCCTCTTTGCCATCGAATGGGTTCCTATTCATGGAGACCCTATAGGACAGGGTAGAACTGTCTGTGAATTTCTTTTTTTTTGTTTGTTTTTTTTAAACATTTTATTAGGGGCTCATACAACTGTTATCGCAATCCATACACACATCAATTGTGTAAAGCACATTTGTGCCATCATTTTCAAAACATTTTCTCTCCACTTAAACCCCCGACATCAGGTCCTCATTTTTCCCCTCCCTCCCTGCTCCCCCCTCCCTCATGAGCCCTTGATAGTTTATAAATTGGTATTTTGTCATATCTTGCGTCTGTGAATTTCTAAGAATAGAAAATCCCATCTTTTTCCTTGGGAGCAGTTGTTGGTTTTGAACAGCTGACCTTGTAGTTAACAGCCCAATGTATAACCACTCATATGCAGCAAGTAACTGTGGAGAGTTATGGGGGTGTTTGGGTTGTTTGGGCTGTTTTCCATTTTGTAGGTGAGGAAATAGCGTGCTGCTAAAAAGAGAACAAAAATAACAAGTCTGGGCCTTGGGTGATGGGTCTTACCCTACCTGGGCCTCTTGGTCAGGCTGTTGGCTTCTAAGGCCCCTTCAAGGGCATTTGTGTCCAAGGTTCAAGAAGCTCAGAGTACGATGATGAAGAAAAACAGAAGCAAGATCTTATCTCTACGATATTCCTCCTCCAAAACCCAAGCTCACTGCCATTGAGCCCATTCTGATTCACAAAGACCCAGAGGACAGAGTAGAACCGCTCCTTTGGGTTTCCAACAAGCTAAACCTTTACGGGAGAAAAAGCCCCGTCTTTCTTCTGCATAGCAGTTGATGGGTTCCAACTGCTGACTTTGAAGTTACTATCCCAATGATCACCTACTAGGCTACCAAGGATCCTTAAGATATTCCTAGAGACCTGAAAAATGAAAAACCACACTCACTGCCTGTGAGTCCATTCTGACTCATATTGACCCTTATAGGATAGAGTGGACCATCCCATTGCTCCCAAAGAGCAGTTACTGGGTTTGAACTGCTAACCAAACTGTTAATGTAACCCATTGTCTCACCAGGGCTCCTTAGAAACCTAGAAGTCCAGAAAGTCTAAGTGCTAGGAATCAGAACATTTCCCCACTGGTATCTATCTGCAAGTAGTAATCCTTGTTGATAAATGCCCATAAACAGTAATCAGGAGATAATGCTTTCAAGGGAATGAAAGATTAGGGAGCCATTCTGGACTTAGCCCAAGCCTGAATGTTTAAAACACAAACAAACAAGGGTGGCTACAGGCTCTGTGATAACATAATACTACATTTGAGGCTCAGCTGACTAATTCTGGTTTTGTAGACAGTTTAAACTTATGGACATAGCTACCATAAATTGAATGATATCAAAGAATAACCTAGGATATGCACAAAAACTTTTAAAAAATCAGATCAAGATAATAAAAGTACTGGAAACACAGGGAATCTAGGACAGATGAACCCCTCAGGACCAGTGGTGAGAGCAGCAATACCGGGAGGGAAGGTGGGGGAGGTAGAAAGGGGGAATCGATCACAAGGATCTACATATAACCTCCTTCCTGGAGGATGAGCAACAGAAGGGTGGGTGAAGGGAGACACCGGGCAGTGGAAGATAAAATAATAATTTATAAATTATTAAGGGTTCATGAGGGAGGGGAGAGCGGGGGCAGGAGGGGAGAGTGGGAAGGGAAAAAGGAAAATGAGGAGCTGATTCCAGGAACCCAAGCGGAAAGCGAATTTTGAGAATGATGAGGGCAACAAATGTATAAGTGTGCTTTACACAATTGATGTATATATGGATTGTGATAAGAGTTGTATGAGCCCCAACAAAATGATTTTTCAAAAAGAGATGTAACAGCCCCAATAAAATGATTTTTAAATTAAATAAATATGAAAAACTAAATAAAAGGATCATTTCAAATATAAAGAATTATAGTCAGTTGCTTAAGAAATAGATGATAAAAATGAGCTGAATTCACTTTTTCTGGAAATAATAGAATGGGTATTAGAATAAGGGAATTGAAGATAGGGCAGAAAATAGTGAGCAAATAATCACTTTTAAATCTTATGAGATGATCTCAGAGTGGTAAAAGAGTTTGTCCATGCCATAAGAGAATCGATTTCTTGATCTTTCAATAGTCACAGAAAGAGGAGCCCAGCCGGAAATATGGATAGTAATATCTAGAGCTAGTAAGTTTGACATTTCAGACTTGATTAATAGGAAGATAATTTGTGATCCAACTTAGTTTTCATGACCAACATTCCTAGAGTAGGACAGGAACCCAGAGGCGTTCTGATGTCTCCTTTAACCTCGGTTGGATGGGGACGCTGAGACTTGAGCCCAGTAGGCGAGTGCTGTGGACAAGTCACTTGACAGTAAATCAGAAGGCAATTATTTAAAACAACTAAACTCATGGTCACCAAGTTAATTCTAACTCACACGTCCCAATAGGACAGGGTAGAACTGCCCATTGGGTTTCTGAGACTGTCTTTCTCCCACAGCACTGCTAGTGTTTTTGTTTTGGTTTGTTTTTCAGCTAGTGGTTTTGAACTGCTGACCTTATAGTTAGCAGCCCAATACAGATCCACTACACCACCAAGCCTCTTCAAACTGAAAGATTGGAGCTGTACAATGCTTATATGGGGCCTTGCAGATTATTAAAGAAACTCAATGAGAGTTAACTGAAGACATTTCCGTTGAATGGAGAGATCCTTACTAATACTGTTGTTCAATAAAGTGCCAGCGATTCAATTCTGGCTTTTGGTGATCCCCTATTGCAGAATGGAATTGCTCCATAGCTTTGTCGAGGCTGGGTACCCTTTTGGGGGGAGGCCTGTTTCCAAGATGTCGCTGGGTAGGTTCAGATCTGTGACCTTTAGGCTAGCCGTCCAGCACTCAACTGTTTGTCCCACAAGCAACTCCTCAGAGACTGAACAGTTGTGGTCCGCCGTTCCTATGGCGGGGTGGCTCTTTTCAACTCAAAACTCCGCACTGACTGCCTACTGTTATTAGGATAAACTTTTCTTGTTTTTTCAAACCGTTTTCTTAGGAGCTAATCCAGCCATACCATCCCACTGTTCAACCAAATGAAGCAGTATTGTACCATCTCTACCAGCACAGCAATTTAAAAACATTTGCTTCCTTCTTGAACTCCTTGATCTCAGCTCCTCAACTCCCACTCCCCTCCCTTCCCTGGTACTAACTCTTCTCATGGGCCCCGGAGACCTACAGGGTCTGACTCATACTAATCCTTGTGCCATCTTGTGCCAGGACCCCCCTGCTCTATTCCAGACAGCACAGCCCCCTGGACACTAGAAACTTCCCTGAGCCGAGGGACTCCTGAGCTTCTCTTCATTTACGTGAATGATGAGGGATCTGTTAAATTAGAACTACATATTTCCACCGGGTGCTTATTTTCAGTAGTCATAGAGAAAGTAACTTTGGATACTCTTAACTATGGGAAAGTTTCATCCATCCAAGTGTCCTCATGTTCTTGGAGCAATTTTTATTCATCTCGTGAAGGGCAATTTCAAATTGATGACTATACTCACAAGGAGGGAAAAAAGGGGCCTTTGTTTCTAAATCCACCATTTTTGATTGGGTGAACTGAATACTTAAGACGATAAAATTTAAATTCCTCCAAGAAAAGAAAAAGAAAGGAGGGAAGAATGGAGGGAGAGAAAGAAGGAAGAAAATTTTACCTGTAACTCCCCAATGTATTTATACACGTGGCTCCATTCTGGCAGCTCATGGGTGTTCCAGAATAAATCTCACATTCATTAACATCAGCCGAACATAGAGGACCCTGTGTTCATAGTTGGAAAAAAAATTGTTTACCAGGAGTCAGAGCGCCTGGGGGCAATATTCATGGAATCTGTGTAAGAGTTTGAACACTGACAATAGTAAGGCTTCAGGAAAGTCAAATACATACACTAATATTAACCTCCAGTTGTCCTTTCTCTGGAACTCAGATTGGTCTAATAGAACCAAAGAGATTTTCTTAAGATCACATTAGTTAGCAGAGGAGAATCTTTATACAAACTAATCTTGGTTTCCTTCCAGTGCTGAGCCTAGGAATGCTTAACAAAAGAGGGAAATATGCATATTGGGAATGTTTCCACCATTATTAGACAAAACTATGAAAAAAAAACACCTGGCTGCAATTGAGCAGGTCAATGTCGACCCATAGAGACTCTATAGGACAGGGTAGAACTGCCCCTGTCAGTTTCTGAGAGTGTAACTCTTTAGGGGAGTAGAAAGCCTCATCTTTCTCCCAGGAGAATCTGATAGTTTTGAACTGCCAACCTTGCGTTTGACAGCCCAATGTGTAACCACTACGCCACCAGGGCTCCCTGGCTCCCTTTCCATAGTAGGTATCCAATAAAGGCAACCCCTCCATCAGAGGGCTCAGTATTCCAGGGGGCTATATAACCGACTTGCCATGGCTTTAATTTGGGCATAGAAGAGGTACTTCATTTTGATGAGGGCGGTCACAGAAGCCTAGAAGCTTCAGCTAGAGAGGATTCAATAGGTCTGAGGGATTCCAAGGGAAGTGGCAGGGGCTGACTCAACGGCACCTTTAACCAAAGACCCTGTTGGCTCACCTTCCACTGTGATGGGCAGATACAGAAAAAGGCACCGTGCAGGTTGAGGCAGGTTCCACCGTTTTGGCAGGGATTGCTGCTGCAAACGTTCTTGTCAACCGCCTGAAACAAAGGCAGGGCCGAAATGGCTGTGAGCCGATTGTCCTTTCTGTGGGCGCCACTACAAAGCGTCATTGGGTACAGATGCTTATGAGGTTTACAGTCTAATCCCAGGAAATCAGATGTCTTTCTCCATTCTTTAAAACAAATTACCCATGTTCTTTAAATCCACTCTGTGTTGCCAAAGGAATTGTTAGTAGACGTTGTCCTTAGTTTAATCATCAACTTTTTAGGGAATAAACTCAAACTCAGTGCCAAGCCCATAGGACAAGGTAGAATGGTAGAATTGCCCCCGTGGGTTTCTGAGATTATCTACAGTAGAAGAAAGCATCCCCTTTCCCCTGTGGAGCAGCTAGCTGGGGGTTTCAAACGTCTGACACTACCCACTGTGCCAGCGGGAGCTGTGGAGGTTTGTACCATGACTGCCGCCAGCTCAGGGCCACCCCGTGTGTGCAGAGCAAGGCTGCTTCATAGGGTTTAAGGCCTGTGACCTTTGGGAAGCAGATTGCTAGGCCTGTGTCCAAAGGCATTCTGGGTGAGTTTGAACAGGCAACCTTTGGGTAGGAGCCAAGTTCTTAATGAGTGCCTCACTGTTTGGGCCAGAGATGAACTCTCCTCTCTGAAAAACCTTGTTCAACGGAGAAATATACACGAGGGAAACAACAGTAAAAGCGTCAAGGGTGGGGGGTATTTAAAGAACCTCCCTGTTGCTCAAAGGAACATCCTCGTTTCTATTGTGGCTGATCTTTAGGAAGAACATTTAAAATGGGGCTGTCTTTTGCTGCCTCGCCGTCTCCCGCGGGTTAAGATAACTGACCTCTTTTCACTCCAAGCCCTTAGTCTGAAAAGTGGGGGCATTGATACACTCCCACTCTCGGGCTCACAGGGCTGTTTTGAGAGGAGAGGCTCAAACAGACCTGCCTTTGTCTGCACAGCCTGGAAGGTCTTGCCACAGGTCCACTGCCAGTTTAATGCCTCTGCGACCAGAAGATAGCTTCAGGGCATGCGGCACTTCTTCTACCATCTCACAGACCAATTCTGCATGTCAGAGTTAAAATTGGAACATGCTTCCTATGACATGTTGTTCTCATGTCCAGTGGCTCACAAAGAACTCCAGCCTGTTCTTTCTGTCCAACTGAGGAAGTTACAGGCCAGAGGACATCCGACCCCACCCACACCCTTTCTAGAAGAATCCGTCCTCTCTACAACACACGGCAGTGCCATCTATGCCAGAACTCAGCTGATCATGCTTGCGGGGTCTCTTTCTGGATTCTTTTTCATCCCAGTATTCTCATTGATCAGTTATATCAACAAATAGGACTTTTTAACAAAAATATCTAAATAAGCAAAGTGAGGCACAGGCAAGGCCTCGGTGTCACCACACGTACACACAGCGTGGGGCGTGCATCTTAGCCAAGACCCTGGTCCGGGACCAGGTATCAGAGCCCATGTCACATGCCCTTTCCTTAAGCCTGGCCCAACATCCATCAACCACTAGATCGAGATGCAGGGCGGCACGTGCCCTTCGAAGGTGAAATGAATGTCTCATAGCCAAATGCCTACCCTTAGCCACAGCATTGCCCTTGTCCCTGAGCCGAGCCCTGTCCCTGGAAGCTGTCCCATGGAAATCCTTGGTCTCTGTCCATCTTGGTTTATCTTTGTGCTAGCCCATCATTTAGAAGTTCTGTTCATCAAAGCACACTAAAGGACGTTAACCACAATCGTCTTAAGACCTTTTGCCTCTTTTGAATACAAAAACAGTCAGCAGGAAGACAGTAGGAGTGGCAGGGACTGTGAACCCCTGGTAGAATGAGTCCTTGCTCATTCTCTGACTCTCTAAAATGGTGAGGGCAGAAAGGACAATCGATGACCTACATCAGAAACAGGAACAGATGAACTTCATCGCCAAACTTAAGAAATGCCCAAAGTGGAAGACAACACTGTGAAGGATCATCAAAAGAGATGAAGAACTTTAGAGCAGGAATTCTGAACCGGGTCTCACTGGACTTTACAGCTAAGAGTTCTAATTATGGGGACGTTTTGTGTATTTCTCGGAGCAGACGGTCTTCCATTCCAGGAAGACTTAAAGAGACCAGCTGGCAACACAAAGAGTATTAGGCCTAAAACAGAAAGACCCGTTTATGAAGCAGGGCAAAATTAGGGAATGTTTGCTTTAAGAAATTGCGAGCATAGAATCCTTGCCAGTAAACCTCAATTCTTGCTATCAAAATGCCATTTTAATTTGTTAGGCTTCATAGATTTGGCTGATAGAACTTCACAACAAACAGCACATTGTGGTTTCTTAATTCCTGCTGTAACGATTGAGCTAAAACCATACTGTAAGAAATCCTCACTGTATTTTCTTAAGGTTCTTCTGGACACGATCCATTGTCATGGGATGGTTTGGTAATGAAAATAATATATAATAACCTTAATAGTGGGGAGGGAGGGGAAAAGTGACGACCTAATGTCGGGGGTTTAAATGGAGAGAAAATGTTTTGAGAAACGATGTACAAATGCGCTTTACACAATTAATGTGTGTATGGATTGGGATAACAGTTGTATGAGCCCCTAATAAAATGTTAAAAAAAAAAATAACCTTAATAGTACAAAAAATGTTACATGGCATAGTTCAGTCGATAACGTTCATTAAAGTTTCCTATGATTTACAAAAAAAAAGAGAAATTGTTCAAATAAATTAAATAAATAGTGTAAATTTAATTATCAGCAAATGACTTCAGGGAGTCTGAAGTACTTCATAATGTACTTGTCCCCACCTCTTGAGTTTAGTTAGTGCTCAACAAGATGCGTGGCCTTCCGGAACTTAGTGCTGGCTGCCACAATTGGCATGGTGAGACCACAGTTAAAGGGTGACATTGTAAGGGAAGGATCATATGGTCTGTCAAACTCAAGGTCAAAATGTCACGGGCTGGCCACTTCATTACTCTGAGACAGGGAAGTACAAACTGATGAGAATTGAATGATAGGAAAAGGCCAGCAAAGTCCTTAATAGGAACTGTCTGTGCAACCTTACAATGAGGACCACGAGCTCAACCTGTGATTCAGAGGGAGACTTAGAGAAACTTATTAGCTATCTGGTAGCCAGAGGACTTACCTGCTGTAAACTTTGAAACTTTCTCTCAAGATCCGCAAGCTAGCAGTGGAAGAAAAGCAAAACATCCATTAGCCACGTCAAAGGCGTGTTTTACGGGACATCCTAACCCTGCAGTATTTTCCGAACCCTCTCTGCTGTGGACTCACTTTCTGACCGTTCCCTCGTTTAGGATTTCTCCCCCTCCGTGCTTTGTCTCCCGGGGTCCCCTTCCTTCTGACTCGTTTTCAGATCATAACTAAGAAAAACACTAATTTTTGAAAGAAGCAACTGAAAAGCTGAGCGGAGAGCATCATGGCCAGGGCCGGGGGCACATTCACTTCATCCATCCGCAGAGGGCTAGAGCCGGGAATACCTTGGCAAGGAGTCTTGGCAAGGCATTTCCGACCCTCTGGCTGTCACCACGTCTCCTTCATTAGACGGATGTCATATCGCCAGAGTCCCTTATCATCAGGCCACCGACATTTCTCAAACGGCTACAGAACTCCAACACAGCTACAGTTGAATTGCACTGAACGAAGAAGCCGCCCCCCTAGTTATGTGGGTCTGACTTACCTTGGAATTAAGTTGATGGATTTGACTAGTGATATTTTGAGGCGCACCAGCGGCACCCCCTTTTAACTGCACGATGTCATCTTTGTTTCTCTGGATCTAATTTGGTACAAGGGAGATGTTAGCGAAAATCATATTTTATAGGAAAGGGGTTTAAGGACATAATAAATCAGTATGCCACCGCCTATTGTTATAGAAACCAAAATCACGCCATGTATCATAAATGTCAGGCTAAACTAGTGATGACATCATTGGACATGAACTAACTCTTTTCGCCGTCATAACAGTTTAGGGGACTTGTTGAGAAACCTGACTTGAGGTCAGACGACTTACGTTATAAATCTTGGCTCCTCCACTGACTGGGTGACTGGGTCGGTCGCTTAACTGTTGCAGGGTTCCTTCGCCTGCCCTATGAATGCCGTGATACAAGCCTACCGCATGGCGTCAAATGAAAGTGCATAGGAAGTGGTCAGCATAGCATTTATCAACCAAAATACAAACTCATGGCCATTGAGTCAGTTCCGACTCACACGGACCCTACAGGGCAGGGAGGACCCTACTGTGTTCCCCTGGGGGGTAACACTGTCACACATTATGGGAGTAGAAAACCTAGTCTTTCTCCCGAGGAGCCGGCTGGAAGTTTCAAACTGCTCACCTTGCCGTCAGCATCCCGGTACTTAACCACTCTGCCACCAGAGCTCATAGCAAACTCTACATGGTGCGAGCTTCTAACGTTAGGACTGACGATGCAGGCACGACGGGGTGGTACGTATGAGCATGACGTAGTCAGTATGAAGTACTGAACACCTGACAACAGTCAGCCAGGGGACCCTGGTGGCACCATGGTTAAGCGCTCATCTGTTGGCCGAAAGTTCTGCGGTTGGAGACCACCAGCCGCTCCACAGGAGAAAAGGCCTGATAATCTGCTCCCATAAAGGCTGCAGCTGAGGCAACCCCCTGCGGCGATTCCAGGCCGCCCTAGAGGGTCACCAAGAGTCGAATCGACTCAGTGGACCACCACAACAAGTCTTCTCAGGTCACATCTAAACTATCCCTGCCAGGCCTTCTGATGGGACCTCGTGAACCTTCTCTAGACCAGAATACGTGTCCCTGGCCAAGGAGCCCCTTTCCACTGGGACGAATCCCTCTGGCCGTCCTAACCCTGCGTTCATTGCCCTTCACCAAGACTAGGCCCATCTCCGCATTCTAAGGTCTAAGGCACAGCTTCACATAAGCCTGTCAACAACGTCCCCCATTGAGCTATGTGAATTCACTTCAATATACTATCGGCACCATCAGGGTAGCTTACCTGTTGTAAACATTCGCTGAGATCCTCATCATTTAACTTAATTTTCCCCAAGGATCCTGTTCTAAATTCGATGTTCAGGGCAGAACCAGTAAGAAACACCAAGTTTCCTCTCTCTGTAGCAATTCGGGGCCTGTAGAATTCAAATAGAACAAATCCATCATTAGCACAGAAAGTCTAAAGAACGAAGTTGCTCATTTCTCTTTACGGTTCACTCAGCCGAATTCTCCCCTTTCTGCTACTGCCTTCTCTGCGAGGTTTCTGCAGATGGTGCCTCCTAAAGGCGTGTTTGACTTATTTGCAAAATGATAAATGAAAAATGTCTAAGAAGGTGTCTTCCTACATCGCTCCAATGTTTCTCCCTGTTGACTCTTCAATGCTTTTGTTTTCCCCATGAAAAATGACACCGCGGCCTCACCAGCTGTGAAAGCTAGAGAGAGCCCTGCACTGCGAACAGGAAGATGGCCACCCCACACCCACAAGCCGCCCCATGGCAGAAACTACCAGCCATGCCAAGGAGGAACGCTGGGGCAGTCTGCTGCCCAGAAGATTACAGCCTTGGGAACCCTCTGCAGTCAGTTGACAGGACCGCAATCTATTGTTTTTCTGTCCATCGCAGCCATGGCCCGACATCTACTTACTGTTGCACGTCGGTGCTTCTTCCTAGTCTCTGCTGCTCCGGTCCTCCAGCTTCACCGCCGAATTCCGTGATCGTCAACAGAACAGCCAAACTCCACAGGCGGGCCGAAGACATGCTCCTCACCGGCCCACCAGGGCTGCCAGGGCGACTCAGGTGACTCCAAGAGACGAGTGTCGGAGACTGGAGACCGGCACGCCAGGCAGATGTACTTTGACCTCGGGCACATCCAGTCACTTTGCACCTCTTTCTTATTTGTTCCAGAAGACTACCTCCTCCCACCTCCCCTCCCCAAGGGATGTAAATGAGCTTAGATGTTCAACTCGCGCAAGGTCACAATCTTCCTTCAGAGGTGCAGGATTTAATCATTATCTGTTTGACCTTTGAGAGCTCATGAGGGTTCACTCGCCACTCAGGTTTTCCTAATACAACACTTGCTTAGGCTATAAACAGCCTAAGGAATTCCGCCGCGGTTTGATTTCTTTCACCTTGAAGGAAGGTAGCAGATAGAGTCAATGGAAACCAAGATTGGGATGCTGGGAAGGTAAAACGGTTGCATTAAAAACAAAACAAAAAAGACTTAAAATGAAAGGAAATATTTGAATCTAGACTCGTCGGTTTCCAACATTCAGAAAGACAAGCTGTAACAACCTTAAAGTGTCTCTGCAACTCCCCTGTGGAATAAGGGAAAGAATGAGACACTTTTCCAAGAGAATGGTCCTAAAACTTCTACGATTAAATGCTGGAAAACAGCAGGAAGGTTTCAGAGTTAAGATCTCTGCATTAACTAGAAAAACGTGGCAGGGGCAGAGGTAGGGGTGGTGCTGGGACAAGCTGCACGTGGTTGAATTGAGAGGGGAAAAAAAAAAAGGAATTATTTTTTAAAGAAAAGTTATTTAATGGAATAGTACAAACAGGGAAAAGATTGGCCTGTCTTATGCTATCGCCACAATGAGGTTAGGTTATTGTTAGTCACTGACAGAGTTTTGAGCTCTTGGTAGTCATTGTTTTGAGTAATTCATATGAATTGTAAGGAGCCCTGGCGGCACAGTGGGCTACAGATTGAGCTGCGAGAGGCAAGGTGAGCGGTTTGAATCCACTAGTCACTCTGAGACAGAAAGGTGAGGCTAAACTCCTGTAAAGATTTAAAGTCTCCCAAACCTAGAGGGGCAGCCTACTCTGGGTAGAGCTATGAGTTGGAATTGATTCATGACCACAGGTTGGTTGCGTTTATATGGATTGTATAATTTAATGTTTAGTATGAATGAGAAAGTTACTTCTTAGAAATGAATCTTTACTTAATGTTCCTTTCTATACCTTTACTATCTCCATCTCTTATCTAGTTCCCTCAAATTTAATTTTGTCTGGTTACATTGAACTAATACATCTATTCTAAATAATAAGCAAATGCATGATTGTGATGGAAAAATCTTTCGTGTACAGCTTTCCTGACTTTAGTCTCCCCAGTGTAGTTGTGCTTTTTTTTTTAAACAGCAGCACAAAAAGTCTGCTTGAGCCTCGTTTCCACTGAGGAAAATAAAAAAAAGTCAAGATTAGGTCTTTGCTGTCCCCGAAAGACACAATAACCTTCAACTCTGACCTCTGCTTAGAATGAACACCCCTCGGAGGTCTTCAGACCTTCCTGAAAATGCTGGATCCATTTAAACATGTTGTTTTGCTCGGGGCAGCAATCCTGTAAATTTGTTGCATAACTTTGCTGATTTGGGGAGAGATAAACCTGAAATTTATTTTTTTAATGGTTACATATGCCACATTTCACCCGTTTTATGAGCACATAATCCACATCATACAATTCAATCGTTCAATCATGTGAAGAAGAATTATACAAGCATTACCACAATCAATTTCAGAACATTATCTTTTTTCCCCTCTTGACTAAATCACCATTAAAATGAGCTGTGTAATCACATTCAGTTTGAGTGTTCCCTCCCCCTGACTTTTGTTATGTCTTATGTTAGCCCTGGCCTCAAAATCATCTCTTCTCATTGCACAAGTGAATCTTATTTTTGTAAAGCATCTTTGTGAGGCTAAGAGAAGTGTCTTATTGAGGGAACTTGTCCGCAGCCGGCTGCTGATTGCTGAGACACCTTTAAACCTGTTTGCTTGGAAGGAATCCCAGTGAGTGTGAAGTGGAAGCTGAGGAGCAAGACTTCGTGACCTATCTTCGTCTTTAGACCATATACTCTATGCGAGACGTTCCGCTACAGATTGCAATGCCGCCACGGTACCTGCTCACAAGGAGCTCAAATTCTGGAGCAAGGAAACAGGCAGGGGAAAAAATGTTTAAAACTGAATGAACGAAAAAATTAAATAAATACAATTTAAAAACTGAATGAACAGTGTGATCTAATAAGGACCTATGTTGCTGTGGGAACATTAAGAGGTGATGGGGTATAGAGGGACTGGAGAGGAGTGGCGCCCTTGCAGTGGCAGTCAGGGAACATCTAAGAAGCCGTATTTAGGCTGAGATGAGGAAGATGTTAAGGCAGCCACTCCCACAGATCTGGGAAGCCCTTGTTGACCTTGGCTCCAGGAATCTTTACCTACCACCATCCATGAAGTACTCAGGACTGAACTTGGAGTCTACTACCATATTCCCCACTGGGTTACACCACGTCCCAGCTGGAGGGTACAGGGGGAGGTCATGGGCCGTGGAGGCTCCTCCTTGATTCCGTCTGTGTTGGGACTAGAGAAGTCCCTTAAGGGCGAATGTTGAGGAAATCGTCAATATCTAGATTCCAAAGTTAGTTGTGAATGCCCTCAAACGTTGCATGAACACATAGACTGCATTAAGAAAAGCAAAACGGGCTTGGAAAGACGGCGTTCTAAAAGCCCAGTCCATGAGAATCTCTAGGGAAGTGGTATTGCACTGGTCCATCATCAGGTAGTAACCTCTGCTCCCTAAGGACCAAGACAATCGTGTAACATGGAATAGTGCCTTCACGTGATGCTCAAATATCCGTGGTTTCATCTTTTTAAAAAGTGAAATTAATAAAACAGATTAACTATGCCAAAGTGTCATTTAGCACAGAGAGACCCCTGCCGGCACTGAGATGTGTACAGCACCACTGGACCCAAAGACTTTCTACCCACTGGCTTGTGATTGTCCTGCATTTGGCTTCATTGCATGTGTTGCGTGAGTCTGAAGAGGACTTCACAGATTGGTATCGGGCCTGTGGGCTAACATCAGACTTATGGACTTGATCTGGACTGGGCTGGGATGTTTTCTCCATGTTCAATTGCTCTTGTATATGAACCCCTTTCTTACACACATACACACACACACACACACACACACACAGTGTCATTTAGTACATTCGCAGTATCAGACAGTCACCCTTATCTAGGCACAAAATTCTCATCTCCCCAGATAAAAACCTCTCATTTACTCCCATTCGTCCTTGCCCCTGCCTACCTCCATCCCCATCAACCACCAACCTCCTTGCTGTCTCTTGGATCTATCTAATCAATGGCATTACACAACAGATGACCTTTTGTGCTATTTGACTTCTTTAAAATTTCCCCCATGCCATCATTTCTTTTTATTTTAAACCATGGTCTTTCATTCAATAGAGTTTCTGTGACTCACCCATTTTTAGGGTGCACCCCTTTTTAGTGCTGAATCATTATCGGCTGCTTGGCTATTCCACAGTTTGATAAACATTATTTCCAGTTTGGAACTATCAGAGACAAAGCTGCTGCATTTGTCAATAGGTTTTTAAATCAGCATACATTTTCATTTAAATTGCTAAATACCGTGGCGGATTGGTATTGTTGCAATGTTTTGCTCAATATCTGCTTAACTTTATTAGGCCCCATAGAAGGACACTCCAGAAAACTATCCCCCAGTTATGTCGGTAGTAGAGTTTCACCCAGTTCATATATACGTTCCTTTAGCATTTTCAGTCTTTTTATTATTAGCCATTCGAATGTGTGTATTTAATTGTGGTTTAAATTACATTACCTTAATGACTAATGATGCTGGGCTTATTTTTATGTACATTTTCCTTTCCATACCTTCTTTGGCAAACTTGTTTGAATCTTTTTTGAATTGAGATATCTTTATTTTAATTTTTCAACCTAAGGGTTCTTCAATTATTCTGGACACAAGAATAACCCCCAAACCTTTGGCATGTCATTTCATTGGCTTAAGAGTATCTTTCAAAAACATAAATCAAGTCAGACACATAAGACTGAATTGTAAGAGATGCCATACAGTTACGGTTCTATATAAAACTCACAGTGATAAAAGAATAGCTCGGAGGTTTTCTGAGGTAGGGAAAGTGGGAGAGGGCTGACGGCAAGGAGACCCGAGTGAATTATTAAGAATAATGGAAAGGTCTATGTGTTGATTGTGGTGGTATCTGAAGGACTTGTCTAAATGTGAAAAACTCATCTAACTGTGAACTTCAAAGAGGTGAATTTTATGGGAAATAAGTGATTTATGAGTTGGGCAGCTAATAGGAAAGTCAATACCTCAAAACCACCGGTCATTCCTCAAGAGAAAGATGAGGCATTCTGCTCTCATAAAGATTCACAACTTCAGAAACTCTAGGGAGAATCCCACTGTGCCCTGTAGGATTGCTGTGAATTGGAGTAGATTTGATGGCAGTGGGCTACATATTTGTAATTGTTCCCATTTATAAGAAGGATGACGTATGAAGTCATGATGTTAATAGTAAATCAAAGCCTAATAAAAGATGTCTACTGGCTTTTACATAAATTTTAAAAAATCTATCACAATGACATAGATGTGTTTAAAAGCTTAGCCACTCAGAGGGGGAAAGGTTTGATAATCCAAGATATTTGGCAGCTTTAGAGTAGGATCAGATAGGCTAGGCTAGGTTCTTCTACAATTCTTGAAGAACTCTAAATCTTTGAGCCCCGGACCTAATTATTTCAAGGATTATATTTTCCTAAAGATCACTAAAGTCATCTAATCTTTCTAATACAGTAAAAAAGGTTTTCAGCATGATCTCAATCAGAGTTTTCTGTTTCAAGAATATATTATTAAACAGAATTAAAGACAATGCCTAGCTTCCAGTCTAGACACGAGTTTCTAATAGTCCTTTGTGTTACGAGGAAGAAGAAAGGGTCGGGTGGGGGATGAGAGCAATATTCTTTCAAGGTCTAACTGACCCCTGCTGAG